CGTAACCAACGTAGTATAGTTCGTAGTTACGTACTAAACGTAAACGCTAGTGTTAGCGTCAGTATTGTTAGGTAAAACTGAAATTTCGAGAAACTCTCCACACGTCTATAAATATAACCAACGCGACGCGCCAAAAAACAGTATCTATTATTGGCTTGCTATAGTTGGTATACTATAAACCTCGGAAGCTATAATTGTGATTAACGCTTATTAATCGAAAAACTTCAGATATTTGAACAGGAACATTTATAAATTTCGAACACTATAAACCATTTAACTTCAGTGGATTCATATCGGACACTAGTACTTTAACGAAGACATTATATAACTTCAGCGGTAAAAAACTCAAGCTCGACCTCTAATCGGCGAATCAACAGAGCTGGCTAGCTCCCTATTAAGCGAATTGTACCTACGTCAACTCGAAATTAACTCGCTCATCGTGAACACTCGATAAGACATCAAGGAAGTTTCAGACTAGAAAGAAGACTTTGTATTGCTTGTAAGTTTGTGGAACTTTTGTATATAAATCATTGTTTGTAGTAGCTGTTTGTAATAACCGTTATTGTAAATTATATTATTATTTGTATATTAAAGTAGATTTGTATAAAACAAAGAAAACTGCCTGTATCAATCTTGTTGGCAAATATCATGAATTGGATATATATCGGCATTTATTTAACTACTAAATCTAAATTACAATTCAACTCAGTTTTAGGCTATTAGAAATTGTAATACGTAACAACTCTTATAGCAATTTACGTCAGCAAAAAATTATGGATTTAAATGTCCACCTACCTGTGTTTCTTCCTTTGCCCGACATGCACTTGGTATAAGCAATGAAAGCAAGAAGAAAAAATACGGACGACAACGTTTCTGCTCGGCCTACAACACCTGTCACCTGGACATATACATTTTAAAACACAAATATGAAAACTCCGAAACTAAACTTATGCTTAAACTTATATGTAATTTCACAGTTCGTTAATGTTAGCAAATATCATTGTTTGCCATATCTTAAGAAAATACACAAAAAACCAAGAAAGAACAAAAAAGCGTCTACTTTAAACTTAGGTTTGCGTCTTCTGAGTAACAGACGATGCAAACTTTTACCATCAGTTTGTTTCTTGATTTAAAATCCCACTGAGATATAAGGATAATTCGTCTTTTAACAGACAGATGTGACAAATTGAAGTGGCCTACGAAAAGTTATCTAAATATTTCTTTTAAAACTATATATCAATCTTCACTCTTTTAAAAAATAGTTTCAAAAATATTTAAGTCAGACTTTCTAAAAGATAGTGAAGTCGCTCACGTCTTACCTGAATCGCACTATTCATGCTTCAATTCATAGCGCTAAAATCTATCTCTTAATTATTTTTAATTTTACTCGATGCAAAAGAGCACAAACGTATTTTGTTTGTTTCAGAAGTTTCGTGCAATGCCACATAAAAGGATATCTGTACATGGCCTTCCCTAATTCTGAACTGACAGACTAGAGGGAAAGCAACCAGCCAACGGCACCCACTGCCCAACTATTTGCTATTCTTGTCTGACCGAATAATGGAATCTGACAGTTACTCTTACTGCACACCGGCGGCTCTAAAGCGGGCCGCGAACCGTAAATCCTAGGATTCACAATCAGAGCTCGTTAATCACTAAGCCACTTCAGCACAGTAACATAGTAAGAGTTTGTTTTGTAAGATATATAAAGTAATTAAGTTATCCTTTAGATTGTTTTCAATATATTTATCTGGTTATACCGCCCTATCTTGTTGTTTTCGAGTTAAGTTAAATCCTTAAAATAAACTCAATCTCCTTCTTCACATTCGAGTATTGCAAACGGAGAGAAATAAGTGACTTATAAAAGTAGTTTTTCTGTCTATCAGACAGAAACATTACAAAAAAGAAACAAAAAATAATAATACGATAAGGCAGGGAATAAAAAACACAATAGAACATCAGAAACATCGGTATGTCATAATACTAGAACAACTAAAACATCGGTATGTCATAATACTAGAACAACTAAAACATCGGTATGTCATAATACTAGAACAACTAAAACAGCAGTATGTCATAATACTAGAAAACTAAAAGATCAGTATGCCATAATACTAGAGCAATAGAAACATCGGTATGTCATAATACTAGAACAACTAAAACATCGGTATGTCATAATACTAGAACAACTAAAACATCGGTATGCCATAATACTAGAACAATAGAAACATCGGTATGTCATAATACTAGAACAATAGAAACATCGGTATGCCATAATACTAGAACAATAGAAACATCAGTATGGCATGTTACTTACAGCTTCCGTATGGATGGGGTGGATGGCAAAAAACATAGCCGCAACCAAGCTTGCCAAGTCAGATAGGAACATGTGACAGACTCTGCGTTGTGTAAAAACGAAACAACAAGGAAGTTAATAACAATAATTAACATAAACAGACCTTCAAAATCTTTGAAAATGTTTTTTGTTCTAGTTGAAATATTTCTTGTCTGCATTAGTCTTTGCACGAGACGCTTACACTATCATGATTACTTTCTAATATCTATTCTTGAATATACTACTCTATAAGAAGCACTAAAAAATACCCTCATTTGTTAAATTGTTATTCAATGTTCTAAAGTTTTAAATACTACATACGTTTTTAAACTTACTTTACTAACTTGTTTGTTCAATCAATCATTTGTAGTAATCTAAAATAACCATAAGCCTGGGTGATTTGTTATCATGGATACAATAACACAAGAGGAAGCTTCTAACACTAAAACGAACTAGTAAGATTGGTAAGGAATTTTCTCTCCTTACTTTGATGCTACTGGTTATTTATAAGATAGTAAAGTTTCTGACTATTTGAGGCATGCCAGTTTTCTTTAAATCTTATAATCCCAGTTAAAATCTGACAAGAAAAAAAAAGGAGATGTAAGTCATAGAGGCCAGTTATTCAGGATAACACCTTCATTCCGAATCTCCAGAAGGTAACGTTACTTAAGTTAAACCATGCAGGCCAATTATTCAAGCATTTACGAGTAAATGTCATAACAGTAATTAACTGTTTCAACACTACGTAAGTCTTTTAAAGTTTTTCGTTGTTAAGCGACTTAATCAATCCTCTTCCTAACCAATCTAACGAAGTTACAAGGTTTTTATGACGATATATATAACAAAGCACTATAAAAAAAAACAAAAAACTATTTATCGGTAGTAATTGTTGAGGTAATTATGATACAATAATAAATTATTACTTAAAAAATTTATTTGATTTCTCTGACGTTTCCAACACTAGAATGTCCGTATAATAATTTAGGGATTTCTAAAGACGCACTTCTTAAAAACAATCTTTATGGACTTTCAGTGATTAAAAAAACTGATAAAATGTAAGGGTTATCAAGACCTTTCGTCTCTTAACATAAATTAAAACATTTATTGTTCAGAACAAAAACGGTTTATTTCGTCAGACGTTTTTGTTCCACCACATTAAATGAAACATTATATATTTTCAAGAGATTCTAGTTGTGGGAACCATAGGAGACGTTACTGAATATCGTAACTCTATTGTTTGTAACACTTTCTTTAATTATTTTAATGTGCCACGAGTTGTTATATTTTCAAACTTAATTGCTTCCTCCCCCTGATGGCTCAGATGATGATGTGCAGATTTGTGCTTAACAACAAACAAACAGATTCACTTTTACGATTAGTCAGTGGATAAAAAATCTTCAAACTAAATAAGGAGGAAGAATTTGATAATTAAAGTTTCGTAGTTTTTAAAATTAAACTACGCTACGAGCATATCTCACAATAAAGTCCATTGTTTTATTGTTATTAGAAATTACTGAAATATTGAAAAGTTTTGTTCTTTTCGACATGTTTAATTCCCAGTCTTTCAAACTGTCATTGCTTAAAGACGAAGCTGCATGGGAACTTAATTTTTCAAGGTGTTCCTAAGGGTATGTTTTATAGTTTATATAGTATTTCTTGAAAAATTATTACTTCGAAGGTTTGATTCTCTTAAATGTCTGATAAATGTCAAAGGTGAAAGTAATGCTTACAACACTATTTACTTTTTTTACAACACGTGCTCCGGGGTAGATACAGATGTCAGGTAAATCCCACCATAATGCTTATAATATTGTTCCTTTTTACAATACATCCTCTGAGGAAAGTAGAGATATTTGATCAACTCCAACGTAATGTTCATAGCATTGTTTTTTTTTATTTTACGATACATACTTCGAGACATCCTAGCTTTATAATAAAAACTGTTTACCACGTGTTCAGGTGCTAACTAGACAAACAGCACAATAATCGCAATACTCCTGATGATTAATGAATACATAAAATACAGTACTCCTGATGATTAATGAATACATGAAATACAGTACTCCTGATGATTAATGAATACATGAAATACAGTACTCCTGATGATGATTAATGAATACATGAAATACAGTACTCCTGATGATGATTAATGAATACATGAAATACAGTGCTCCTGATGATTAATGAATACATGAACTACAGTACTCCTGATGATTAATGAATACATGAAATACAGTACTCCTGATGATTAATGAATACATGAAATACAGTGCCTCTGATGATTAATGAATGCATGAAATACAGTACTCCTGATGATGATTAATGAATACATGAACTACAGTGCTCTTGATGATTAATGAATACATGAACTACAGTACTCCTGATGATTAATGAATACATGAAATACACTACTCCTGATGATAATTAATGAATACATGAAATACAGTGACCCTGATGATTAATGAATACACGAAATACAGTGCTCATGATGATTAATGAATACATGAAAATCAAGGTAAATGGTAAAAGTAATAAAATAAATTTGATTTAATACTTTATGATATTTGCGTAAAGACGGTGTAAAAAATAGGTAGATTATTTATATAAACCACACAGTTTCTAGATGTTACTTTTATTTTACAGTATGCATTACCCAAGAGAAACAGGTTAATGTGTATCGTAATTTAAATTTATATTAATTTATTCGATCCAAGAATGGCTAAATTTCGAATAAAATGCCCCAAAAGTTTTAGTGCTTATTGTTTGTTTCTTTGTTTGTAATTAAGCACAAAGCTACACAATGGGCAATCTGTGCTCTGCCCACCACGCGTATCCAAACCCGAATTCTAGCGTTGTAAGTCCGCAGACATACCGCTGTGCCACTGGGGGGCTTTAGTGCTTATTAATGATAGTTTATATATACATTTTCTGTACAAAAAAAGTTAAACATTGTTGGCAGGATAGCTTTACTACAGCGCAAAGTCTCATAGCAAAATTATTTACAATATGTCTAGGAATACAAGTAAAATATAACTATTATTGGTATTTAATCCAAGATAACGCTTTCGTGATAATAAAAAAAGGAACTGTTTTTTTTAATATAAAATACGGAGACAGAAAAAGAACAACTTATTTAATAATTAGACAATTATTCGACATGTCACAAACGAAAACTGTTTTAATTCATTGTATAAGTCATAAACGATTCGTCCATTCAGAGATAAAGGAAAGATCACTTAAAGATCAGGGATATTTCTGACAGCCTAATTACTCCACAGAAAATGCTGCCAGACACGAGAACGCCACATACATAATCTTTCAACCTATTCTGTACATAAGGAAAACAGCTTTACGCCTGGAAATTTTACAACTGTTGGAATAAGGAGCCAGATTCTTTTCATTCAAAATATACATTTTATTCTATAACAGATTTTATTCGATGAAGACTTTTGAAAACTTACCTGAGATAGAGAATGCAAACTACGACGTGTAATGCAACGTTCACCAAATGAAATCCCATCGGGTTAAGCTCGTGCACTGCGTAGTTCAACCGAAACGTGAGAACACATAAAGGTCTGTAGGATTTGTGGCTGTGTTCCTGTAAATATATGTTTAAACCTTGTATACAAAATGGTAACCAAAAGTATATACATTTAAATTTATACATACATATATATATATGTGTGTGTGTGTATTATCCATACATTATTCGAAATACAAGTCGTATTTAACTGACAAAAAAATCCCCCATGAAAAAACTACAAAACAATGTGATAATTCTCACTATCTGATCGTACTTCTTTTCCTTCCATACTTTAATGTTTCTCCAGGTTTTGATTTAAAGTTTGAAGTCACAGCTACTATTTCCTATAAGATCTGAGAAATTAGATTTGTTAGGTAATAACAGCACGCCCGACTTGTCAATAACACGTTCCGCGAAAACGTGTGACAACCTTGTGAGTAAATAAACTACAAGGTAGAGAACGGGTGTGGGCGATGTAACCTCTCATTTCATCCACCTTCAAATTAAAGATCTTACTAGTATAGTAGACTTGTAGCTAGCTGCTAATGGATGTCCTTAAGAAACAAGATGATTGGTAAAACCCCGAGAAAAACTGTTTGCTATCTTAGTATCTGCAAAATACTGGAGAATTCTGAAATATAATAAAAAAATACAAAAATAAATAAGCTACGCTTGACGTACTGTATGCATAACAAGAAATTCGCAGAATATGTCATTTTATCATTGAATCGGGGGTGGGGCATTCAGTTCCTCAATAAATGTTGATAGGTTTATAACGCCCCTAACTACAATCGTGTTTTTTATGTTCAAAATAATGAGACTCATTATCAACGGATAAGGATTTTAAAATGAATTTGGTTGCTGGAAATATCCAGTCGGAAACAGACAGTGAAACAAAACAAAAACATGAGCATGGGCTCAAATATCCACCATTCGAACTGTAGAAAGAAATTTCGGAAGAGAATTCCCTCAACACCCCTCCGTAGTCTCCGCCCAAGCTTGATTCACTTGCAACTTAGACCCCCCCCCCTTTCCTAAACACACATTTTGCTTCCGACGCCTAGAAACGTCTTTGTCTATTATAATTTTACCACTTTTGGTCAGTAACAGCATGCCTAGATACTATAAGCATAACACCCATTGTTGAAAGTAAGTGTTAGGTGGTCATACTACTAATACTTTCACGCACACGTAGGTAGATAACTGCATAGTGAACATAACTCTGCGGGGGATTTCCCTCGGACGAGAAAAACTGACATCTTATAATGTCTCGCTCTTTAATTAATGCGTTAGGATTATAATCCTATAAAAAAAACCTCGACACGTAAAATAAAATTGTTTCTGTGCATTTCAATATGTAAGTTAGATCGAAGTAATCAATTTCACGAAGAAGATATATTTGGAAGTTGACAATGCATGTGATCTATTTAAAGTGAATTTCTTACACGGACGGTTTATGAACATTAAAAACGTGTTTTACATAATAGCTAGATATTTCAGCAGGTAATAAAACACATTATGATTGTTCCTATAACTACCCTTTACTTACATTTTTCTAAACTACTCAGTGAACAAAATGAGACATTTTTAGAAGATAGGCTTACATGCGCTAGGCTACGACAATATTTGTCATGGTTTTAGAAGATAGGCCTACATGCGCTAGGCTACGATAACATTTGTCATGGTTTTAGAAGATAGGCCTACATGCGCTAGGCTACGATAACATTTGTCATGGTTTTATCTTTCCTTTTTTTTCGCAATTATAGCAAATTTAATTTCCTTGATGAATTCGAAACAAAGAGTTATCATTCCCTACTCAGCATAACCTGATCTCCAACATCAACGTTTGGTATAGTACAAAACACCAGCATAACCTGATCTCCAACATCAAGGTTTGATACAGTACAAAACAGCAGCATAACCTGATATCCAACATCAACGTTTGATACGGTACAAAACAGCAGCATAACCGTATGTCCAACATCAACGTTTGATACGGTACAAAACAGCAGCATAACCTGATGTCCAACATCAACGTTTGATATAGTACAAAACACCAGCATAACCTGATGTCCAACATCAACGTTTGATACGGTACAAAACAGCAGCATAACCTTATGTACAACATCAAGGTTTGATACAATACAAAACAGCAGCATAACCTGATGTCCAACATCAACGTTTGATACGGTACAAAACAGCAGCATAACCTGATGTCCAACATCAACGTTTGATATAGTACAAAACACCAGCATAACCTGATGTCCAATATCAACGTTTCATACAGTACAAAACACCAGCATAACCTGATGTCCAACATCAACGTTTGATACAGTACAAAACACCAGCATAACCTGATGTCCAACATCAACGTTTGATATAGTACAAAACACCAGCATAACCTGATGTCCAACATCAACGTTTGATATAGTACAGAACAACAAATGACAAGCGGCACGCACTTTTAATAATCTGTAGCCAACCATCAAACTTAGGTTATTCAGCTTTGATCATTTTTGTATCACACAGATTCTGTATAATCATGTATTTATATAATACCGTTTAGTGTCTATGATTGTCTGATGAACAGGACACATGTTGTTATATTTTCCAATACAATAAAATCAGGAAACATTCTTGTGGCTTTCTAACAGCCTTCAAACTTTGTAGTCATACACGTGTTCAAATAAAAAACAACAACATACATTTGATGCAAAAATTTACATTGTGTAAAATAGTAAAATGGCGGGAAGTAGTCTTCGCTATACATTTTCGATCGTAACAAAATTGAAACAAGGCTGTGTTGAGCATCTTCTACAGAGTAATTTAGAATGAACAATACGTAATACAGCAGAAACAAGGCTATAATGAGCATCTTCTACACAGTAATTTAGAATAAACAATACGTAATATAGTAGAAACAAGGCTATATTGAGAATCTTCTACAGAGTAATTTAAAATGAACAATACGTAATATATCAGAAACACAGCTGTGTTGAACATATTCAACAGAACTGTGGTAGGAAGAAGGTTGTGTGAAATATCGTAATGAAGTATGATCAAACTCAACAATGACGGTAAAATAAAGAATATAGTTTGTATAGTTGCTGACTGAATTTTTACTGTTGTAAAAAATGTGTGCCTTAAGTTTGGAGCAACTAGTTTTAATTCAAGCTAGTTCTTATTCTTCTTTTCCGAGTTGGTACTCACGTCGGAAGTATTTTCGTTGTTTATCCTGTGCAACAGAGATAGCTACATTTTTTTGGTTTGGTTATGAGTTTGTTTGTAATTAAGCACAAAGTTACGCAATGGGCTGTTCGTGCTCTGCCCACCACTGGTATAGAAACCCGGTTTCTAGCGTTGTAAGTCCGAAGAAATACCGCTGTGGTGCCACGTGGGGGGGGGGGGGGGGTATGTGGCACGTGGAGATCAAACTAATCAAACTTGGGAAACATTGCTGTGCACCAAAAAGTATCGGCTTTTTTCAATTTTCTCATTCTTTTCGGTGTTCTTATCATAACAACTTGTTACTGTTATAACATATTATATTTCAGAGTCCATATTATAACATAACAATATATGTGTAGTTATCCTTGTACTTTATGGTAATTATGGTTTCGTTTTAATCTTTCTATCCTGATTTTTGACGCTGCAATATTATAATAAACCATCAAGATCAGCTTCTAAGAAGCCATGTTTCGAGTATGATAGCGAAAAGTTGTGTGATTGGCTTTACTATGTTGTACCACCAATGAACTAAACACAAAGACACTAAAGAGCAGTGTGTCTCTGTGAGTAAATATATTAATTCATGTAATGTAGAGTAGAGTAAACTTATACCTGTATAACACACGTAAACAATACATTTCTCTACTGTAATGTTGCTTGATTTAATGGCTTAGAGTAATCCGGTTGTTAAGTACAAGCAGTTAGTCTACACACTTCACGGGTTATACGATATATAAATATATAGATATATATATACGATATATCTACTTCTGTAGATGTAAACAATATACACACATGAATGAAAATCACAGACACACAACTCCTGATTTGACCCTGCACAATGATGGCGATTCAATCTATCTGCTCTTTTAATTAGTGAACTACTGTGCTTTTCAATTAATTATTACAGCAAAAGCTCCGACTCAGAATGGTGAAGTGTATGTAACTCGAACTGTGTAATAATAGGTAGATTTATAAACCGTTGTTTGCCTACCTATTATTATGTTAGCATAATGTGCTTCCGATTCAAGTATCGAACAGTGTATGCATATCACGTGACCTAGGGGGCAATGCCATATAAGATTTTTGTTTGTTTGCAGTTAAGCACAAAGCTAAACAATGGGCTATCTGTGCTTTGCCCACCACGGGGACCGAAACCCAGTTTCTAGCGGTATAAGTTCACAGACATACCGCTGTGCCACTGAAGGGCTCGTACAAGATTCTATATAAGGGCTGGAAATTGAAGCCCAGTTGTAGTTTAACGTACGTTTTTCTACTTACCTTTATAACATGATTTGTAAATAAACGCATCTTTGTTCTTAGTTCTCTTGCGTTTGTGCTACTATTGAAAATAATCATTTATACAAGGACAGCGTGCAAAGTCAAATAAAAAGCAACACGAATAACAGAGAAAAAGTGTCTGAGTTGGAGAATTTTGTCACATCGATTCAATAAATGGTCCGAACCATGAAACAAGTATACCATAAATGTCCTCGTACAATTTTTATAGGTAACTCCTATGAATGTCTTCTATAGTCAATTGAAGCATTTTGAACTTCTGTAGAATAAATAAGACGTTTTAGTGTAGCTTTACAAGAACTTCTTTTTCTCTCTCATTCTGCACTTTTCTCCAAAATTGAACGCTTCTTTTTTCCCTCTCGATTCGGCTGTTTGCCTGTTATTTGGTTTTCTCCGCCAGTTCATGATGTCTTTTAGAAGCAAACCTCTTAGAAATTCACTTTTCTTTGCCTCATAAACTTTTTGTGGGAAATATGGTTGCAGTATTCTAGCATTATGGTGCTTTTCCTCTTGCATTTTTAGTCGGTCTTTCTACTTGGTCGATGTTT